AGCTATGGATGGTACTAGGAGACTTCAATTTTCCAGACATCTGCTGGAAGAACAATGCAGCCAAACATAAAATGTCAGGCCAGTTCCAAAATTGTGTGAAGATAACCTTCTCTTCCAGAAAGTGGAGGAAACAACTGGGGGATCATCTATCTTGGATCTTATCCTGGCCAACAGGGAAGACCTGGTGGAAGATATGAAGGTGATGGGAAGACCTGGTGAAGGATATGAAGGTGATGGGTAACAGGGGAGGAAGCAATCACAGTATGACAGAATTCCAGATCCTGAGACAAGGAAAGCATGAGGTCAGCAACATTTGGATGCTAGATTTGAAGAAGGTGGATTTCATCCAATTCAAGGACTAATAGGCATGGTGACATGAGAGGACAGATTTAAGGATAAAGGAAGGCTGGGAGCTTCTAAGGGGCACAGTATTGGAAACCCAACAAGAAACTGTCCTGACAGTTGGAAGCACAAGAAAAATGGCTGCACAAGGGGCTTCTAAAATGTCTCAAATGCAAAAGGAAAGCATACAGGTAATGGAAGAATGGGCAGGTCACCAAGGAAGCATACCAGCAAATAGCAAGAATCTGCAGGGACAAAAATCAGGAAGGCAAAGATAAAGAACAAGCTGCACCTGGCAAAGGAGGTTATGGACAAAAAGAAGAGGTTCTATAAATATATTGGCCAGAAAAGGACCAAGGAAGCTGTGGTCTGTTAACAAGTCAGGGGGAACTCCTAACTGATACAAAGAAGACAGAGCTACTCAATAGCTACTTTGCCTCAGTCTTCACAAAAAAAAAGGTAAACTGCCAGACACCTCAGAGGGATTATCTGGATAAAGAGGGGGCAAGCTGAGGGAGCAGATAACAAAAGAGATGGTAAGGGAGCTTTTGTTAGGTCTGAATGATTTCCAAGTCAGCAGGGCCAGATGAGCTTCATCTCAGGATCCTGAAGGAACTGGCAGAGGAGATATTGGAGCCCTTTGTAATGATCTTCATAAAGTCGTAGGAGATGGGCCAGGTACCAGAGGACTGGAAAAGGGCCAGCGTAGTGCCCCTCTTTAAAAAAGGCAAGAAGCAGGACCAGGGAACTACAGACCAGTTAACCTCACCTCAATACCTGGGAAGTTACTGGAGCATATCCTAAGGAAGGCGATTTGCAAGCATTTGGAGAAGGAAAGGCTGATTGCAAGCAGCCAGACTGGATTTATGAAAAACAAATCATGTCAAACAAAACAGATCTCCTTCTCTGACAAAGTAACTACTTGGGTCATGGTGTGGATATAGTGTAACTGGATTTCAGCAAGACTTTTTGGCTAAGGATGTGAAAGGTTAAATGGTTAACTGTTTAACTGATAAGCCCAATGATAAACTGGTTAATTTACCAGTTATTGTTTAGTTTGGGGTTAAGGTGCAGTCTGACCGGGAAGAGGGGGAAGGCGCTCCAGCAGGAACCAAAAGGTGGCAGGGCAGGAGAGACGAATATAGGGAGCAGGGGAGAGGGAGGGCGAAGACTGAAGGGAACTAGTACTAGTTCCCTAGTACTGAAGGGAACTAGTTTATGAGGTTAAGGGGGAAAACAGCAAAAATCCTAATGACTCATCAATTAAGCAATTAGCTGCTTGTTCACAGGTGCTCCCTCCCTCCCTCCCAGCAAGGGGCTTCACTAGGGTGCCCTTGAATGGCTGGGGTTGCCACCACCTCCTTCTCCCCCCTCTACCAAGGGGCCCCAGGAACCCTTCCAGCAGCAGCTAGATCTGAGCTGCTGTGTTATGGGTTAACCATTGAGCCAATATAGAGGAGGTTAAACAAATAATTTTTCAACAATATTTACATTCCTACTTTTGACAAGGTCCCACATGACCTTCTAAAACAAATTGGAAAAATATGGGCTGGACACAAACTACTACAAGGTAGATAGATAATTGGCTCGATAGCCACAAGCAAAAGGCAATTATTACCAGGTCCATGTCAGAATGGCAGAAGGTTTGAGTGAAGTCCCACAGGGGCCTGTCCTCAGCCCAGTGCTGTTCAATGCGTTGATTAATGAATTAGATGCAGGCATGGAAAGCTTCTTGAACAAGATTGTGGATGACAAAACTGGGATGGAGTGTGAACATGTTGGAGGATGCAAGCACAATTCAGAAGGATCTCAACAGATTGGAAAGCTGGGCTGAAGCTAACAGGATGAAATTCAGTGCAGACAAATGCAATATGTTACACCTCATAATCAAAAACACAAATATAAAATTAGCAATGTCCGCCTGGATGGCAACACTATGGAAAAGGACTTGGGAGTCTTGGTAGACCACAAACTCACTATGAGTTTTCAGTGTGATGCAGCTGCACAAAAGGCAGATGTGGTTTTGGACTGAATCAACAGAAGCATTGGGTGCAAGACGTGCAAGGTGATGGTGACTGGTTAGGCCTCATCTGGAGTGCAGTTCTTGGCTCCACATTTTAAAAGGATGTGGAGAAGCTAGAGAGGCTCCAGAGGCAGGCAACAAAGATGTTCAAAGGCTTGGATGGCAAGTCCTATGGAAGAGAGTCTGAAGGAGCTAGGCATGTTCAGCTTGCAAAAAAAGCACCTAAGAGGGGACATGATAGCAGTCTTCAAATACCTGAATTTGAAGGGCTGCCATAAAAAAAAGAGGGAAAACACCTTTTTTTTTTTTTGCTGCAAACTGGCAGACAGCAGTGTCGACTTAGGGCTTTTTGGAGCTAATCAACAGCTCAGCTGGTAATGTCTCTCTATTCCTCCATTTTTTAAGAAGAGTTTGAACTATTTAAAAAGCTGTTTTCTGATGGGGTGATACATGCTGATAACAGAGCTGATAAATGTTCTGTTATCGGGGGGGGGGGGGGGGAACAGACTCCTCCCTAGTCCTACGGGGGCCTGCCCATGCCCACCTTAGCTCAGTCCTGAGAAAGGGAATGGAGGGCTGCTCTAGCGCCCCCGGGCTTCTAGCCTGAGCCACTGCAGGCATGTGGCTGCATTTTCTCAGTCCAGAGGGAATGTCTGCAAACTGGCAACTTGCACTTGCAAACTGGTTCAGCCTAGCCAGGTTAGAGTAACCCGCAAAGATTGAATCAATTCAGGCTCAAGTTTCTGAATGTCTGTCCCTAGCCAAAGAGGCTGGACAGACACTGGCCAGGGATGATCTAGGTACAGCTATGCCTATTTTCTACCATGGGCATTTACCATGCTTCTGGGCTTTCCTGGTTGTTCCCTTCCCCCAACCCCACCATTTTTCTGCTGTGTCAGTGTGTTTTTTAAGTCTCCCCTGAGGCACTGAGTGTTGGCTACAGCTAAGGCTGAGGACTTAAACTATGGTGTGCTGGTTCTCCTGATAGAAGCAAAGCTGTAGGTTCCTGGCTAGAGGGTCTTGCCCCTACACTCGGGGTCAGACTGATCACTATATTTGGGGTCAGGAAGCAATTTTACCCCATGGTCAGATTGGTGTGGACTGTAGGGGGGTTTTGCCTTCCCCTGTAGCCAGGGCATGGCCCTCCATTTGAGATCTCTTGTGAGCATATATTGACAACATTTTATAGAAGCAGGACATCAGCCACCATGGTTCCCCTGCTTTACCTGTGGCAGCTTAGGGCGGTGGGTCTATGTTATGTCAAGGTTGATGGTATTCTTACGTAGAGTTTAGATTATGGTTGTATGGGACGATTTTGATAGGGTTGATTCTGCCTCAGGCAGGGGGTTGGACTAAATGACCTCTAGAGATCCCTTCTAGCCCTACTTCTCTATGACTCTGTGACTAAGTCCCAAATCTGAACCTCTAAGCAGGCAAATGCTATCTGGAATGGAGCAATCCAATATAGCAGCTGGTTCAAACAGGAACAGAAAAGGGAGAAGTGATGAATGGGGACAGCAGAGAAGGGAAGGAGGGAAGAAAAGGGGTCTGCTCAAGCCAGGGGTTACGTGTATGCATAAGAGTTTCCTCATCAGGGAGCCATAGCTACAGCCTGGAATGCCGTGGGACATGGCTGCCCGGCACTGGCACTTCTTATAGTGCCCTATGCCCCCTCATCAGGATGAATTTTCCTCAAGGAGAGAGTGTGGGGAAAGAAATACACATTGTATATTTAACCAAAAGCCAGTTCAAGCAGAAACGCATAGCTATCACCTAGCCCCACAGCCTGCAGAGGGACTGACTGGGCACATGTGTGGCTTACTGCGGGGATTTCAGGACTCCTCTTGCAACCTCTGATCCTTTTCCTTCAGCCTCCTATTGTCTGTATCTCCATATATGTCCTACCATCACTCTATCAATCCTTGACATTTCTACAGCCCCAGCTGCCATCACCTTCCCCCTCCCCTCATACACTTGACTCAGCATGGAGCTCACTTGTCTCCCTGACTGCTCCCTGTTCTTCACCTCTGGATGTAGTCATGGAGCTTTCTCCAAGACTCCACTACCGTGGGCCAGCTGCCCACTCCCAGAAGTGCCTTCTGCAGCACTTCCAGAGCCACTTCGTTAGCAGCAGTTGCTGTGGGTGGCATTCACATTACCTCCATTGTGTGAATTCTCAGCCTTCTTGAAGAAGAGAGCTCCATCCCGACATGCTGGGTTCAGGGAACAGAGCTGCACTACCCTCCCCCAGCTTCCCAGCTGCTACTCCAGTCTAAAGGTTCAAATAATAACCCCGAGCTCTCATAAGTGCTTTTCCTCAGCAGATCTCAAAGCCAAAGAAGTTGGTATCCTTATTCCTATTTTGCCAGAGGGAAAATTTGAGGTTCATGGGGTACAGTGGCTTCAATAGTGACTCCACCCCCACATTACCACTTGTGCTGTGTGTGGCAGGGTCAATGCTGACCCTGTGTCCCTTTCCTGGACTGCCCCAGCCTGGCCCAAAACAGAAGAGCAATGCAGACACTCCTTTATGGCTGCTCTGGTAGCTCTCCTGCACTGCCCCAGGGGCAGAGGGGACAGCTCTCCTGCCATAGCACCCTGGAGTCCATTTGCCAAGCAGGCATGAGGCACTTACCATCCTCATCTGTCTGGAATATCACCTCCTTCCCTTCCTTGCGTCCCTCAGGGTTGGACAGGATGAGCTTCACATGAATGTTCTTGTAAGGCAGCAGGTTCTTAACGGTGTAGTGGTTGACACTGTGCTCCATCTTCATGCATTCCCGGAAGGTCTGGTTGTGGCTGCTGCCCACAAAGTAGCGGTAGCACAGCGAGACTGTATAGGTGTGGCAGCGGGTCAGGTTGTAGCCCAGTGGCTCCCACTGCAGCGTCAGCTGCCTGGATTGGATCTCTGAGAAGGCGAGCCCTTTGGGTGCCCGCATGGGCTCTGTAATGGACAACATGAGAGAAAACACAGGAAACCATAAAATCAGGAGAAGAGCACAGCAAAGCAAGTAAAATGAGTTTAGTGAGTCTCAATTTTGTACCTACTGAAAATCAGTACACTACTACTCATGAGAGCCTAAGTCTAGAACAGCTCAACTTTTTTGACTGTGTGGGGGAAGATGAATGAACCGTGAATCTCTGGCATGAGGCTAGATCTGTGGGTTGGATCTGGCCGTGTGTGCCAGATAGGGCTTGCAGAACAATCCCATGCACTGGGTCTGGGGCTGCAGACTGATCTGGCAGGTGAAACCATGTCACTGGACCCGGGGGGCTCCCATGGGTCCAGAAATTTGGCAGTAGAAAGTGGCAGCATTAATTGCCACAGGTCTGATAGCACCACTGGTCTAGAAACAGGTGAGTTCTCAGGACCAGCAGCATTGAGCCACCACCATCTATGCTAAGGCCCCTTTACATTACTCTGGTCAATGTAAAGGAAACTTAGGCCTTACAATAGATTAGATTGAGCAATGTCACTGACACGGGGGAGGAGGGAGAAGAAAGAAAAAAGGAGAAAAAAAAGGAAGGAGGAGGAAAAAAAATGTAGTGTTCTGGGATGGCAGTACAGATTCACGTGCACTCCCAAATGGCCTTGCTCTCAGCTGCACTCCCTTGCTTATTTGATGCTGCCTCCTATGTTCTTCAAAATCAAAGATCACCAGCATTTAGAAGTTGGACAGTAGAAAAGTTTTCACCACCCTTAATAATGGTTGTGAGGGAATGCCCTGTTACAGCATGCATCCATCCCCTACCACAGACCCTTTCCTGCTGCAGACACAAATCAACTAAAAGTGCACCAAATTTCATACCCAGTGACTCCAGACTATTTGCCCCAAAAATGGCAGATAGTGAGGGGAGATTGCATTTCCTGTCACATGAACAAGATCACAGGCCTATGGACAGTGGTCCTACATAGATCCCTAGGTGAAAACTTGGCCCAGCTGAAGTCACAGAGTGAAGCTAGCCATTTTACTTACACACAACCAACTCCAAGATTATTTGAGGTGAAAGCTCTTTGGAGCAGAGACCATTCTTTTGTTGTGTATTTGTACAGCACCTGGCACAATGGGGTAATAATCCATGACAGGGGATGCTAAGCATTAATGCAATAACAAACCACCACGTGTGACTATATTTTTGTGCACACCACGCACACCCCAAATAAGACACACCCCTTGTGTTTGGAAGGCAAAACACAGAATTTCCACTCCCCCCTGGTCCCCAGAGTCACGGCCAACTGTGTGACACAGGGCAAGTCCTCCTGGAAGCACAGTGTCCAGGAGTGTGGCATCCCCGAAAACAGTCTGGATGAGGCAGCAGGAACTGCCCAGTGTGGCAGAAGAGCAGCACAGCTAAGCCCGAAACTCTTGCAAGGACAGTAAAACTATTACTTCTTCACTATAAATAGTTCTTTATATAAGTCCCTGTAAATAATAAAGTACTCTTTCTATGCCACAAACTTCATCGAGATACTACAGACTTCATGTAGCAACTCATGTCCCTTGAGCTAACTCCATTGCTCCTGCAAGCACAAACTACAGTGCTCAACCAACAGCGATGGCTGCAAGATGGTTAACACAGGACTCCACTGTTCTGTTTGCTGGGCTTCAACCCCCATGGTAGTCATTATAACACGGTGTCTGTACATGTCTATTCCAGTATAGAAAAATCAGATTCCTCACTTTATACACTCAGCCCAATTTTGGAGGGTTAATTTGTGCAGGGAAAGATGCATATCATATGCAAATAAATATGGTATTTGTGTAGCCTTGGATAATCGTTTCATCTCATCTGAAATTTGGAAATAAAAACCCTCCTTTAAGTGCTGTGAGTCTTTGCCTCTTCCTGTTTACAAAGCACTATGAGATCCTCTGCTGGAGAGAACCAGAGAAAGCTGCTAAACATTAATTTTCATGGCTGCCTTAACACCACCAGCACCAAGATCTCACCAGCCAAGCCAGGTTCTGTACCATATGTCAACATTTATATCAATGCAAGGGAAGGGGGGAAGCAAAAGCTTCCAGGGCAGGAGATTTATGCTTTACTGTTGTACAAAGTACAAAGGAAAGGACAGTCAAACCTATAACACTCCTTGCAGGGACCTGCTCCAGGGAGCCATGTGTCATCACAGAATCCCAGTTTTTCAAAGCAGAGTTAAGGCCAGAGTTCAGCTGTGCATCCAAACAAGAGCCAGAAGCCTTCTTCAGATCACTCCTCAATCACTGCTTTCCCCAGGTCAAGTTGCATCCGGGATCTCGAGGGGCTTCATCATTTTCTTCGGGTCAGTGCCCTGCATAATCGTACTCTGGAGAAAGTGAACCAGGGGGGTACTCTTCCTTTCTCCTCATCTATGAAGAGCTCCCACCAAATGCCAGCTGCTTCCTTTTAAGAGGTCCCTGCTTTTCATGCAGTGAGTGGGCAGGACTGGGAAACGGGATTGATTAATGATGCACAGCACACAGGAAGGGCTTTCCATGTGGGCTCAAACCAATAAATGTAATAGGCCTGCATGACAGGAGCCCTCACCTTTTCATCAAGCAAGTGTCAGGCTCTTGAAAGGACATAGACTGAGCAGAGTCGTTGGGGAGTGGTTTAATTAGTTATCATAATTGGCATCAATAGAAGATGCCTGATTCAATGAGGAGCCAAGCTCCTTTGCCGATAGCAAATACACAGTTCATTTGTCTCCACAGCAAAGAATTCCCCTGGATTCTTAAAAAATGATGCTAAGGTGGCAGGGATTACACTAGTGAGATTGGGGCAGGACTAACTTATTCCTAATGGCACAGGGACACAGTGGGAAGAGGAGCCTTTGACTGCAGGGAGGAAACAGTTCTTCCACAAAAGTGCAAGCAACTGTGAGATGGGGTATCACAGGCAGAAGCATCAACCTGGAAAGCAAAGAAATTACTATCCTACTTCATGGGCCCGTCAAGGTCCACTGAAGTCCATGGGAGTTCTTTCAACAGCTGAGTTGAGTTTTGGATCTGGTCACATTTGGTTCTCATTAGAAGCACCTGGATTATTATTGTGACACCTCAAACCCTACATGTAGGAATTGCCTTGGATCTGTCAGGACTGTCATCTGTGCTGTCAGCTAGACTCCAAGGATGGAAGTCTATGTTTTGGGGCCGGGTTTTCACAATGACTCAGCATGCCGTGCTGATGTATAGGGGAACATCTGCCAAAGCATCAGGGCCCCACTTCCTGACACAATTATGCCAAAACACAGCCTGGCCATCCCAGCACTGCAGTCAAGAGCGGGCTCAGCTTGCCAGACAAACTGACACCCAGGGCTGCACATGCAGATTTCAAGCCACCCCTTTTGTTCTGAATTTACAGCCCCAAAAGAACATAGCTATATAGAGACACCACCATCTGCATGTCCCAGTGTACTGAGCATGTGCCTGGATATATCTACAGAAACAGAGTTCACAGACCTGTTTTCTTAACATTCCACCTGCTCTGCAAGGGATATCTGACCCTCTGGGGTGAATGCCATTGCAACAATGACTTCCAGTAAGACAGGCAGGAAGAATTATAAAAGGCACCATATCTTCAGTGCCCAGTTCCACTCCCTGTCCTGGTCTTGGGGGAGAGATTCTCTGCCCCGCTCCCAGAAGTCAGAGGCAGCATGATGAGCAGAGGCAACTGGATTAGCTGAGCCACTCTAGGGAATGACAAGCTCGTGTACGCCTTGCCCCAGTAGGGGATGGGCAGATGCTGTCATATTTAAAGGACACATTTGTGAGCTGCAACTGAGCTGAGTGATAAGATACAGCGTGTTTCTCCAGGATTAAAGCAAGCCCAGCTGGCCGCATTTTTATCAGGCACAAGGTCAACTGGCAGATGCCTTGGAGCACACCTCCTAGGCAGTCACTGCCCTGAGACGTGCAGCCGGGAGAGCCCTCTGGCTGCACTGACAGATAAAGGGGACTGGAGTCCTTACATTTCGCATGCTGCAGAGACAGGATGTGCAGCCTTGTCTGTTGCTGCAATAGGCCAGTTGCAACACACAGGTGGGAATCCCAGGGCTACTGGTAGACTGACTCCAAAGGGACTGCACCACAGAGCAATCTGGCCTGGTCAGCGGTGTGAAAATTGTTGCAGAATATAAAACCAAGTGCTGAATCTCTGCTAGGGAA